AACACTCCAGGCCCTGAAGATGATCTCAATAAAGATCGAAACGTTGGCACGATAAAGAAAATGTTTTTCTGAAACCTACATCACACCAGACCGCATCTCACGATTTCTAAATAAATATCGATTAACGGTCACTAATCACCACACAAACAACAATAAACTTAGCAAAAGTTGATCCGCCGAGATTAACCCATTAAAAATCCTTCATCGTTCTACATTCTAATATTAGCCATTAGTTTTCAAAGGCAACACAATGTTAAAAAATATTATGTATGATCAATATGTTAATTATTAAATTAAATAAATACTAGTACGTATAATTTTAACTTTTTTTCTGTTTTTTCATCTTGTTTAAATCTTGGTCTGTCTAGTTCCTAGTTTTGCAGGATGTTTTATTACTACATTTAGCTTTTTCAACCTTTCTTTAATACACTATCTTCAATAGATTCTATCCAGTTGGTCTGTGGGTTATGTTTGTTAGTCAAGTTATTTTCATGCATTAACAAATTGTAAAGTCTTAGTTCAGCTTTTTAACAGATTAGGTCTGTATGTGACGTGTAGACGAGTAGATAAGGTTTGGGCTGTAGGATTGGGGGTGGATGAAAAACATAGTGTAGAACTTTTGGTAGAAGGATCAGTTCGTTGACAGCAATGTTGAGGTCGTTGTGGTTGGCAAGGCTAGTGGCGTATTAAGAAGTACGACAGTTTGTCTGAAGGCTTTTGATTGGCAAGATTGGATCAGCTGGATATCGGATAGCTTGGCGCGATCCCAAAGTTCCACTACGAATGTCTACAGTGGCCGCAGTTATGTCTTATACAAAGTCCGTAGTTTTGACAATCAAAACAGATTTCAGTTCTAAAAATCTTCGTAGTTGTCCACGTCTTCTGTTAAGTTGTATCTCTTAAGGCCTGTGCTCTGATTCTTTTTCTGGGTGTATTTTTCCTGTTTCAGTCGTGTCCGCTACTTTTTCCACCATTGTGTGATAAATTCAATGTGTTCTTTGGAATTAGAGGTTGCTTGGATAAGATTTAGAAGATAATGAAAAAATGAAATTGCGTTGTAATAGGTGGTAATGATGATGTTGTGGATTGTGTACATGCAGTATAAATGGTACATATGATAGAACCAGAAATACTCCCTTGTGCGACGCCCGTTTTTTTCCTGATATGTATTGGACAGTTAAACAGGACTCCAGGACAAGGTAATAAAGGATGTGTAGGAAGCATTTCAGTTTATAAAACCTGGATGTCAGACCTAATCAAAACCAATACAACATCCAGGAACGCACACTATCAATACGTTTTGTTTTTTAGAGTAGAGAAAATGGAACTTTTATACATTTTTAGATTTTCAAGTATTTATATATGTTTTTGTATATTCATAATCCAGTTCTATCTCTTAGTTACAATAAATGTAGGGTCATTCATACAATATGTATTTTATTTCCTAATAAATAAACAATGATTTATTTTCCGTTTAAACGAATAATTTTACTGGCGCAATAAAAAAATTATCATCCTTTAAAAACCCTGAGCAGAAAGTAGTAATTAGAAAAATAATAAGCATGTGATTCTTTTACTGCGGAAGCTTGGAGCTTCGTACAAGCCGTATCAACCCCGAAATTTCAGTAAGTAAAAAGTAAAGAAATCCCCTCAAGTGGAGGGCTTAACGTCCAATTATCGATTGGGTGTCGCTAACCATGGGTCAAACCAATTTACAATACTTTCTCCGTATCTTTCACAATTAAATCCTTGGGCTATGCCGAGATTCGAACCCAAGACCGCTAGCCTGGCGATACCAGTCGGACGGCCTAATCTTTCAGCCAACGCGGTCCTGGGGATTTATTTGTGTTTTGGGGGAAAGAAATATTTGTAAATACTGTGTGGTTGAATTCAGGGCCAATGAGATTCGAACTGATGAGTAGCCCTGTCAAAACGTTAACCATTTATTCATTTTTTTTGTTTTTGTTTTTAAATGTTTATCTATGGTTTCTTTGTGTTTTAATTGTGGTTACATTGTACCCATAGATCGTTATGGTTTGTTTAACCGCATTTTCTTCATAAATAAAAATTTATCAAATAAATATCAAAAATATTTTTATTTATAATTATATTTTTTGTATATCTACTATGTGCGGTGATTAGTGACCTTTAATCGATATTTGTTTAGAAATCGTGAGATGCGGTCTGGTGTGATGTAGGTTTCAGAAAAACATTTTCTTTATCGTGTCAACGTTTCGATCTTTATTGAGATCATCTTCAGGGCCTGGGATTTACAAACATTGTTTACATATTACAATTACATTTTGGATGTTGAAAAGTGAATTTATACAATGCATATTTGAATATAAAAAATATATTTTGCATTGTATAAATTCACTTTTCCACATCCAAAATGTAATTGTAATATGTAAACCATGTTTTGTAAATTCCAGGCCGTGAAGATGATTTCAATAAAGATCGAAACGTTGGCACGATAAAGAAAATGTTTTTCTGAAACCTACATCACACCAGACCGCATATCACGATTTCTAAACATATATCTACTAAGTTATTTAAATTTATGTTTAAAAAAATTCCAGAGGTCGTTCTGGAAACGTTTATTTTAACACTCAAAAACAAAAATTAACCGCAGAACAATTTATTTACCCAATCTTTTTTTATTAAACAATTAATGACATCATCCTGTGCCAAATAGAATGAAACTGAAAAGCAGATAAATGTCTTAATTTCTACGAATAACAGCCAAGAGGGACAATTTTAGATTCATCGCTGACGTCAAAAATGATGGAGTGCTTTAAGTTTGCACTTAGGGCCTTTTGATGCCTAATTCGACTCTGCTCTGTCTTTTTATAGGATGAAAATTGGAGAAAACGGAGTTTGACGAAAGGGGGCGGAGGACTTGAGAAATGAAGCAGTTCTGCGTCCTGTTATGGCAAAGTTGACGTCAAGCTTTTATCTCAGGATCCACTGTCCGATAAAACTTAGCAATAACTTAACTTCCGGTGAATTTATATTTTCGATTATCCCTCCAACTGGTCATTATTTCTTAGTTGGTGCATTTCATTATTTATCTGTTAAGAAGCGTATTTGTTTTTTGTTTTCTTTATCAATATGTGATAAGTTATAAAATATATCGGGTTGATAAGAAAATAACATTATATATGATTAGTATATGAAGTACTTATAACACTGGGAGATTTTAATGATGAAGAAGTCCGAAATGGGCTTTAAAGTTAAAATTCAATGTACACATGAAGTATAGATTCGTTCGAGTTTCACATTTAAATACTCATTCGCATCTAGTACTGACCTTACTTTCAAAACATTTTTTGTTCATTTGTTCATTTCGTTTGCATAAAATCGTACTGCAAGGAGAAAACAGTTCGCTTCTGTATATTTACATATACTAAATGGTATATTCATGATCAATATTCTGAATGAATCCATCATATCATCTTGATACACTTATTAAATTCACAATTCCTTGTCATTAGTCGTTCATTCTTTGAATTAAAATCCTTTGTCGGATGATTCCATAAATACACCTAAGAAGCATGTTGTAAATAAGGTGATTTAATCTTAAATCGATTTTTTGTTCTAACCACAATCTAGTGAGTAGTTACGGTGGTTGAAAACGTTTTTTGATCGGAAGGAGATCCATTCTCCATCCAGTCGAGGATCCTTCCAAAGAAAATTGTAAATTGTACGTTGATCCTTATTAATTAGTTATAACTTTGCCCATTTCCTAACAGTAATAATAGTATAAAAATAAAACCGTGTTGACAATAACTAAATATCTTGGAAGAAATATTTACTGTTTTAATTTTGAAATCCTACAATGTTGTGTGTTGATAATGGATTTTTAAAGATATTGTTGCGAAGGAAAAACTTTTAAAATATAAATATTTGTTTAAATTTATTTGGATGTTACAAACTAGGGCAGTCTTGACTCTTATAGTGTATTCAAACTTGGTTCCATTTTCTTCCACCGAGTTGAGCATGAGCAGCGAAATGAGCGGCTTTGGCGGCAGCTACTTCAGCGGTATCGACGGGAAGGCCGGGTTGCTGTTGTTGGCTGAAGGTCTGGTGAACTGGAGCGGGGTTCCAGGAAGGTTGGGCCTGAGCCTGATTGTATGTAGGTTGAGCTGGAGCTTGGTTCCAGGCGGGTTGGGCCGGAGCTGGGTTCCAAGCAGGTTGGGGCTGGACCTGGTTGTAGGTCGGTTGAGCAGGAGCCGGGTTCCAGACGGGTTGGACTGGGGCGGGGTTATATACGGGCTGAGGCTGAGCGGGAGGACTGTTCAGGTTTTGCTGAGCTGGAGCAGCCAGTTGAGAGATGTGGTTACCAGAAGAGTAAAGGGAGAAATGCCTGGCACGCTCAGCTAAGACTTCAGGGGTGTCCTGAACAGGGAGAGGAGCTCCGTTTTGGTCGAAACCAGGAGGAAGAGCAAGGTCTCCCCTCCATGGTTGTTGGGCTTGTGCTTGCGGTGGAGCCTGCTGAGGGACCCACTGTTTCACAGGAACCTGCTGCGGAGGAGCCCATTGATTTTGCGGCACTTGCTGTTGAGGTTGCGTCCATTGGTTTCGTGGCACTTGCTGCTGAGGCTGCGTCCATTGGTTTTGCGGCACTTGCTGCTGACCTTGACCCTCAGCCTTAGCGAGAGCGGCGAAATGTGCAGCTTTCGCCGCAGCGACCTCAGGCGTGTCCTGCGGTACTCCAGCCTGTCCACCCCAGTGCTGGCACGCGGCCAAACCGATTATGGACAAAATGATCAACTGCAATAAACAAACATTACTCTCAAAATAGATCGTTTTATTTTTTTTTATTACTTACAAAAGACTTCATTTCTGCCCGCACTAACACCTTCCCTTGTAATCTACACGAAGAACTGTGCCTTTATGATTTAAATCGGATTTATGCATTCTATTTATAGCAAAAGGCTGTTCCACCGTCAAACCAGCTCCGCCCCCACCATCACAACTCTGCCCAATATCGCGTTTCGTATTATTTTCTTTTCCGGAAACCGGATAGAATTCGAAAAGGACTAAACAAAAGAGAATTAAGTGGAGTGTTCCCAAGGCCGGTAGGCGGTTCAAATATCAAAGGTAATTTTATCTTCCTTGCATCCAAACCTGCCAGAAAAGTTACCTAAAATACTAATTTCTCTGATTAACATTTGATTGACATTTTCAAACTCTTTTATACGTCAAAAGTTGATTTCCATTATAATATTATAAACAAATGTATGAAGTTTCTATTTTTGTTTAATACATATAACCATACATTTCTATACATTATTATTATTATTAATAATAATAATAATCTTATGAATGAATGAGGAATTCTTTATTTTCTTTAATGTTTCATCAATAAATTTTCCTCATTTGACAATTATACCATCATTTTATTGAATTTTATCAAAAATGTAATAATCAACAATCATTTTAACTAAAAATTATAAGTTATAAGAGTGGTATCTAAGTCCTTACATTGTTGACGATTTATGTAAAATTATTTTACACTGTTACACTTGTTAAACTGCTAACTCTACCCTGCGTATATTAACAATTTTCTCTGTTTTTCATAAATTGGCCTTTCTTCTCTCAAGTATAAACTAAGCAAAATCTCGTGCTTTATCCCTCTAACATAAAAACGTCCAATTACCCTAAACGGCCGGAGGTGGATTATGCTGTGATGTGATTTAACCTAGGCCCTTTAGGAGGTCGGAGTCGTTTAGAATACCGACACCTTTCAAGTAATCAACGTTCATTTTAGTAAAGCGATCGTCTAATTAAATCCCGAAGCAATTTTCAGCATGTGGAACATAATTCATTTGATTGTATAACGCGGATTTAATTGCCTCCGTTTCATTAATTAGCCGAGGCCGCGAGAAGAGAACCGACTTTTTCAAACGAACAAAACTAACAATCATTTTGCAATCCTGTATACATACGATTTCACACTTTCAAATTAAACGAGTGTTTTTACTTTTAAACATTTGTCGTTTCATACCCTTTTAACTTAAGGGATATAATGATTTATACGATAAAAGTAAACTTTTGAAGTATCATGTGTAATATTGAAAGAAACTTGAGAGGAAAAATAAATAAAAAGCATAGATGAAATATCATTTAAACGGTGTGATTCTCTACAAAGTTCGTCAGGAGCTTCAGTACCTTAAATCCAATAAAAAAGATCGAGCGAACTATGTCGGATTCTCAACCCTTTCGCAGATATTCAATTTTTTCCAACTATTTACGGTTTTTGTAATAAATCTTCTTGTACCTCTTGAGCAATCCATTTTTGGGGTAATCAAAAAGGAGCGTTGGAAAGAGCGTGAAATTTCCTTTACAAAGTCATACTTTTAAAACATTCAATTTAATTTTTGGTAAAACAAATACCAAATATTTCAAAAACTACTAAATAGAAAATTTGTAAAAAAACCTCATTGGAAAAATTCATGAAGGGCCTTGGCAAACTCTATAACAACTGATTCGTTTAGTGGTATATCCTTTTTCTTAAGTTATATCGGACCAACATGCCAAAATTTTATTGTAAATTGGGAAAAAGTGGTGACGATGTGAAAAAATTCATTCAAAAAAGAGTTAATCTAGTATTCAACTTTTTGTTCCGAGAAAAATTCATTTCCCAATTTTAACGTAATATAAAAGCAAAAAAGAAAAATGAACCAAAACTCGTAATAAAAAGACGATAAACATAGCAAACAACCAAAGCAGAAATATTGGACAAAATATTTACACTAAACCCTGACAAATGTGAAAATGAGCAACAATACTGAAGTTGTAAAATCCCACTCTAACTTAATAAAAAAAACGCGAAATATTCGACGTAAAAATCAAACAAAACCTGTGAAAAAGAGACAATAAACATAGAGAATAACCAAATTACATTGAATGTTTTTGCTCTTTTTTATTAAGTTAAAGTTGGAACATAAATGTCGCCAAGGACAAAAAGTACTACTAATTTTTCACATCGTCATCACTTGATTTTAGCATAAAACTTCTGCATTTTGTTTTGATGTAATTAAGAAAGGGTATAAGAATAGAAAGATTATTAAACGAAGAAGTTGTTATGGAATTTGTCAAGATCTACCGTGAATATTTCCAAAATGGTTGCAAATTTAGTTTCTTTATAAATAATAAATTTATCAGTTTTGGGAAGATTTAGTGTTTTTTTTACCAAAATATAAATTGAATGTTCTAGAAGGGCGCCTTCTTAAGGAATTTTAACGCTCTTTTCAGTGCTTTTTTTGTATTTCACCAAAATTGAATTGTTCAAGAGCTACGAGTAAATTTAGGACGAAAAAAGTAGATAGTTGGAAAAAAAACATAAAATGATGAGTATCGGGCTATGATTAATTTTTTTCTTGTATTTGAGGTGGGGAAGTGACTGACGTACTTTGTCGTACGAGTAGAAGATCAAGCAGATTTTATCTATTTTTTGAAAATTCCATAATAATTTATATTTAAAGATTTTTAAGGTCTCGTTAAGAAAACAAACTAAACTTTATTTTTATAACAAACTAATCAAACCAGGTTGTATACATATAAGTATGTAATCTCTCTTAGAAAGAAGATCTGAGAAATCTCAAATTGTAATAATAAAACTATATTACTTTTTTTGTATGCATTTATTTTATCATAAGAGCTAAATTAAACTTACATCATTAGGTATGCTTTTTTGAGGGGACGTAATGTTTTAAACTTAAGTCTACATCTACCTAAAAAATGTCATTTTTAGTTGTACTCATTAGTTATTCTTACTCAAAATTTTTAATGCCAGTATACGCTCCACGCATTGGGCTTAGTAGGATTTTCAAGACTATCGAAGTTCTAGAACCTATTGTTGAAATGACGAGATTAAAAAGATTCCTCCATCTTAGAATTGGTCGAAACAATCTGAATGAGAAATTAACGAATTCTAGAGGTGCCAAACACCCCTAGCACCAAACAGCTCTAGCAAATGATATCATGATTAAAGAACTGTCTCCAAAACTGGCAAACACAGTGCTACAATTGGACAGGGTAAAACTCAGAGGAATAATAGGGCTATATACTGGTCACTGACATCTGAGGTAACAGTAATATTATACTCGATGGCCCCATTTGTTGATTATGCTATGGGGAAGAAGAAAGTGTCATTCACATTTACTTGGAATTGGAAGCAACCGTTAAAAGGTGGCATAACAACCTTCTCAATGACTTCTTAAAAGAAGGATCGAGTCAATAGAACTGAACTAAGGAAATAGGAAAAGTACAATAAGCCAAAACTTTGCAGTGCTAGGGGAATACCAAACTCCTGCCTCCTAGCAGCCTCAACATTATTATTACTACCATCTTGGATTCCTATTCGAAAAATATTATTTGTGTAGAAGCCCTGTTTTTGCAGGAAAAATGTAGGGGTCACTGGTCACAAACAAACCAAAACCTTCTAGCAAGATTTAGAAAGAAAGAAACTACAGAATGCATCAAAGGAAACAGAAAGAAGCTTAACAGGATTTTTGACAAGACATAGCGGACCGAATTGGCACTTTAAACAATTCCACTAACAAGACACGTGCAGGTTCTGGTAAAAGACAGAAGATACGCCAGAGCACCTATTACCAGAGCATACATTCCCGGATGATAGCCATTTTCTCTGTCAGCCAGGATGCACTCACGTCCTTAGCCTCATGCGAGGCGAAGGCAAAGAGTGTTTGGAACTGCATGGAGGCCCTGATGGAAGTCAGCGACAATAATGACTTGACCCTGGCATGGGTCCCTGGATATTCGGGGCATAGAGGCAACGAAAAGGTTGACATGTTTCCACAGACTATATGGGCGCAGAAGCCTGTCAGAAAAGAGGATACATCTTAATGAGTCCATAACCTGCTGGAAAAATACCACAGGTATGAGGCACGCGAAGAGGTTCATAGAAGAACCATCCGCAAAACCTACAAAAGAATTACTGGAAAGCAACCGCAACCGAACCAGGATTCTGGTTGGACCCCTGGCAGGGCACTGCCATTTAAAAAAGCACATGCACCGGATAGGAGTACAGAAGAAACACTATGCAGATACTGCCAAGAAAAGGAGAAGACCGCAGAACAGATTTTATGTTTCTGTGGAGGTCTATGTAGGTGCAGGTTCTTGCAACTAGGACAAGAAAAACCACAAGCAAGATCCTACACCAAAAAACCGCTGATAAAGCTGGGGAGGCTGGTTAATAGCCTGAAGCTGGCCAGTGAGTTGTAAATAACAGAGGAGCACAATAGGTCTATTCAGGTCGAAGTGCAGTAGGCCTTATGGCCGCCTCTATTATCCCTATCCCTATCCACTACCTATTAACAGACTGAGGTGCCACACGTCTCTGAAGAAGGAAGTGCTTTGGGACTTACAACTTAATTGAGGTTCACCAGTGTAAGTCATGAACAAGAGGTTCCTTAACGGTTAAAAAGCCCACTCTCGGGAGTGTACATCTATACCTACATTTAATACATTATATTCAACTGGTGTAATAAAGTTTTTATCCCAAATATTCAGTTAGAGCAGTACAAATTTCAGCTGTTAACTTTGGTTTTCACTTGCTGCAGGTATTTTATTAATTTAGTAATATTTATCGGGATGGGGCTAAGGAAGATTTAGCGAGCAGTAACTCACTGAAGATTACTCAGCGAGCGATTCAACACGTTTTCATTATCAACATTCCAAACCAACTCTCAACGGTTATTTAGTTTAATTAAATAAAGTTTACAATCATGTTTTTAAAATGCTGCGTTCCATATTTTCTATTTTCAATTTTGAAGGTAGTACTTAATTAACATTTTTCTGGCATAATACAAAATGGAGGCAATTAGAGGTTGGTTTCGTTTTTTTTGTGAATGGACGC